TTGGATTTTAATTTTATTTTGTAACAAGTTTTTGTAAATGAAATTCATTTGACTTATTGTATTGTATTGTAAATTGAGTCAGTAATTCAATGAGAATCCATTGGGAATCATAAAATGTAATGAACTTTCTTCTCATACATAATATTCTTATAATACAATTTGGAGTTTAATTTCCTTTATATTAGACCGACATTTAATATAAAATTGCTGGAAATTAATAGCGTTTAATTTTTTGTTGTTTACACACAAATAGGATTAACTAGCGTATTTCTCAATTTACAATACAATACAATAAGTCAAATGAATTTCATTTACAAAAACTTGTTACAAAATAAAATTAAAATCCAAAGAAACTTAAGGTAAAAATAAATTACCTGATACTGAGTTGATAGAGTACGGCAACTATCGCACAACCAGAAAACCATATTAAACACCTGTATGGGCAGCCAACACACTGCAAACGAAATCACCAGGATCACCAGCATTTTAACAATCTATGCACACATAGAGAATTTAATTATACCATCATTTTATTTACTTGATTTATATTCATAACAAATATCAATAGTCTATGTATTAATAAATAGTCATAACCTATATCTCAGGAAATAAGCGATTCGTGCCTAAAACAAAAGTCACACAAACATAATATAATCAATACAAACCTTCACACGATTCTGTTGCTGAACGTGATCGCCATTTGAATTGCCGGGCACTGTATGCCGAGCGGTCACACCGATCGAGATGTATAGAAAGCTGAGCGCAAACATGGGCACAATGAACGTGGTCACAAATATGAGTCCGGTGTACACTTTGCCGCCCAACTCCTGGTCCCACAGCTCTCGGCAATCGTATAATATCTGATTCCTATACGTAAACTCGACGGCCCGGCTCTGTATCAGCTGTGGACTACTTAAGCCAATTCCTGGTTGTGTTTTATTTGTTTGTAGTTTTTTGTACATAACAAAAATGTTTGACAGAAATAAGAGTAAATAAATTGACATTTTTTTGCTCTCGTAAATTGAAATGTTTAATGAAATGTAAGTCAAATAAAATTTATTAAACTTCTGTTTGTTGTCTTGTTTACAGACATCTCTATTATTAGACCGAAAGAAAATGCATTTTTCAAGTTGTCTGCAAATTATTTACACAGAATTTGATTTATTTTGCTGTTTAAGTCTATATTATAATAGATTATCTAGAGTTCATTAGTAAATTAAATTACCATGAATCTATTGCTGAATGGGATTTTATATATGTTTACAAATTGAAGAGTAATTAACAGCTCCGTTGAAATATATATCCGTAAATAGTTATAATTACACTGATATTTATTGAGATGGTTTAATAAACAGTGATTCTATTATTGAATCCTAATATTTTTAAAACTCAAATGAATATTTACATTAAAATTATCCAAATAATCAGTTTTTGAAATGCAAACAAATAATTAATTACATGTACAGAATATTTTGTTAAATTTAACCCTGTTGACTAACTGAAATGTTTTTAATAAATTTTAGTTGTATTGTAATCAAGAATTTTTATTTTAATCTGATTTATAATGTGTGTTTATTAAATGTTAATATTTTAATTAAATAGTTTAATTATTCTAATAATATTATCTAAGATATTAAGAAACAAAACATTTATTTAAATAATTATTGTTCATAACATTGTAAACCTCATAAATTAATTTATAAAACATTTATCATATTGTTTTAATCAATAGATTGAACATTAACAACCGGTACATTATACTTTATGATAAATATGGTAAATATAATATGAATTAATTATTTATGCACTAAAAATGAAATAAAATATTTCCTGAATATGACATTGTATAAAATTTAGATATAAAATCATAAATTTTAATTATTTATATATAAACTATTATTATAATGGCTATCGTTTGTATGAATTTGCATTCAATAGTAACGCAAAGCATAGAAAAATATAAATAATATTACATAACGACAGAGATTAAGGGCATTAATCAATACAACAAAATAGCTGCACATTAAAAATACTATATTCAACGTTTTTCAATCTACTCTAGCTAAATCGGTTTACAAATAGTACAAATACGCTAACCCTAATGAATTAGTACCCAAAAAGTCGTAGGTGTTTTTAGGCTATTTTGTACATCAAAATAGATATAATCAAAAATATTCGTGGGTTTTATTGTATTACTAGAAGTAAATGACATATTCATGAATTGATTTTAGATTTGCAAAACAAAATGCCCTAATATTAGGCCTTAAGTTATAACCTCTCATACAAAGGGCTAAATAATAGATTTAATGCACAAATCAATTGATGCTATGATTTATAAATATAAATAAATAATGATATTATTTCTCACCGATTATCCAAATGATTGCGATCACAAACTTTGTGTGCTTTTCAAACGATATCAAGCGTTCAAATGGATAGACAATTGCGAAATATCTGTAAATTAAATTAACATTTCAAATACGATTCATAATAGATCAATAATACAGTGCAACTTCGCTATAAGAAACCATAAGTGTTCCTTATAGGGAGAGTTTCTCTAACGAGTTTCTCGTAAGGGAAGTTAGCTTATAAACATTTTATATATATTTTTTAATGTCATTCAAAGTTTTCAAAGCTAATAATATGCGGCTTCAGTTTGTTTGAAGTTAAACTAGATATTATTGTTTGATTTCAGATGTAGTTTTAAAAATATGCTTTTAATGTCGTTATTATTTTGGATAAACAAATATTTGCTAGTTTTTAAAAATAATTTTACTTAAATATCCAGAATCCGTTCCCAATGGGGAGGTATTTTTAATGGAGAAGTTTTTATTATAAAACCTACTTTAAAATTATAAATATATGTTGTTTGTTAAATATTACAAATAAATTTATGGTACTATGTTACAAAATTATAGTTGTAAGAAAAATGATTATTACTTTTAATTCAACTATTTGTGTAATAAAACACTTTCATTATTTAACGGACAATAACTGGTGTCACAATATGCAAGATAACCATGTAAAATAGTGCAATTAATGTAAAAATATAATGAATTCCTGGAAAATAGTTAATATAATAGATAATATACTGTGAAATGATGGTTTATAATACGCTATTGTGTTGCTTAACATTAGGACAATAAAT